ATGGGAGCTATATCTAAATCAGGACCGATTTACAGGAAACTTAACATACATCATTCTAGACCTAATTCATTACGCCATTCAAAAATGCGCTATTCGTGCAAATCAAATGATTTGCAGGGACTTTAATGGAACATTTACCTAAAATCGCACGAAACTATATATGGGAGCTATATCTAAATCTGAACCGACTTGCACGAAATTTAGCACACGTCATTCTACCATTTATTCAGTACCTTATTCAAAATTCGTGCAAATCAAAAGATTTGCAGGGACTTTAATGAAACAATTACCTAAAATCGGGCGAAACTATATATGGGAGCTATATCTAATATATGCACAAAGACATAATACCCTGTACCACAGGGTGGTGAAGGGTATAAAAATGATAACTCAAAAATGTCGAATTATTCCTATTCGAATCTATTTTTATTCTGAAGACAAATGGAACATATATGATGGGTTCTAAACTATCTATACTAATAAACGAGTAAAGCGATTGACGATTCATCAACGCCCAGACAGCTCTTGGTCCAAAGATATCAGATAAGCTTAGGTTTTTGGAAATTCGTACTAGAATGGTACGAAAAGTACTAAATAAGGTACCTTGGTCCAAAGATGGTCCAAAGATATCAGATAAGCTTAGGTTTTTGGAAATTCGTACTAGAATGGTACGAAAAGTACTAAATAAGGTACCATTTGGTAAAGTAGTGGAGCTAGAACTCTGAAATTTCGATTGGGGGTTATTGATAGAGTGTAGGATAGATGTACCAAAGGGTTTTTGAACATTCGAACGAGAAGTATCCGAAAGAACTAAAATGTAATACATTGATTACAATTTTGTATCATGTGAATGGATAGAAATTTTTAATGCGGTTGGTAGGTTGAGAAGTAGGTTCGAGGTAGGACGTAGTTTTGAACACGTGTACTTATGTATACGAAAAGTATTAAATTTGCTACGATTTCAATTTAGGGAAACGGTTTGAGCTTGAATCGTGAAATTTGAAATTAAAAGTTTTAAAAGTGTGTACTTATGTATACTAAATTGTACTATACTTGGTGCAATTTGGATTTTTGTTGAACCCATAGAGTTGGGATTCTTAAATTTGGAGTTAGGATCACTGTTAGAGTATAAGATGGGGAAATGTAGGAAGTTTTGGGAATTTGTACTAATGTGTGGATTTAGGTGAACCGATAGTGCTGTAATCTTGAATTTTGAATTAAGATTGCTGTTGGGGAGTAAAATTGAGCTATGTAGGAAGTTTTGGAAATTCGTACTAATGTGTACTATATGGTACCAAATTTAGATTTCGCTGAACCGATACAGCTGGAGCACTGAAATTTGGAAGTAGGCTTACTGTTGGCCTGTAGGATTGGGGTATGAATATAGTTTTGGAAATTCGTACTTATGAGTACTATATTGTACTAAATTTGGTACAATTCGAATTTTGGGTGAACTGATAGAGCTGGGATACTGGGTGTGTAAGAAATTTTGGGAAATTTGTGCTAAATAGTGCCAAATGTGGATTTTGGGTGAGCCGATAATGCTGGAATATGAAATTAGGATCACTGCTGGGGTGTAGGATGAGGATATATATTTGAAGTTTTGGAAATTCGTGTGTGTACTATATGGTACCAAATTTTGATTTGGATAAACCAATACAGCGGAAATCTTTAGCTATGTAGGAAGTTTCGGAAATTCCAACTACTGTGAACTAAATTTTGTACAATTTAAATTTTGTGTATATATATATATATATATATATATACCAAAGCTTCATCTATATCTGAACCGATTCCTCTCAAACTTTGCAGATATCAAATTATAGACAATATGAAATCAAGTTTGATGGTATTGTTATATGGGGCCTATACTTAAACGTGGACCAATTTAGGTAATTTTTGAACTTGACCCGATGGCAGCCGGTCATAATGTACCCTCCTTTACACTATGGGAGAGGGTTTAAAAACTGTTCACTTCAACAGAAAAACGGTTAAAATTCTTGAACTCTCTACTAAAATTGCTTGTGCATTTATATATTTAGCCAATAGCTTAACATTTTTTTTCGTGGGAGTGGAAAATTTATTATTGGGATGAAAGCCCTTGATTAGTATATTTGGCTGGGGAAAAAGAAATCCATTATTTTTATATAAACTATAGGATGCTTCGGAATGTTCGATTTGGTCCAAATATGCACCGTTTTGCTGTAAGATATGTTGTTATTTTAAAGGTAACTTCATAATGCCTCTCTCATAGAAGTCCTGCTCTCTATTTGCAAAAAACGTCGTCGATTTTCACAATCCTCACTAGATAACAATTTTTTTATCATTAAAGACATTTTGTAATGCAAGAAACAATGATAATCGCTTGGTGCCAAATCTGGACAGAAGTTTCTGGCGAGTCACTGTAAATGTGTGTGGCCTAGCGTTGTCGTGGTGGAACACGATCCAGTTGTTGACAGTAGAGATCAGAATTTAGCATTTCGCCATATGGAAGCAACTAATAAAAAATAATCCCCTTCCAGTCCCACCAAATGAATAGCAGAACCTTCCTGGCCTTAGTACTGGTTTGGCCACCGTTTGAGGTGCTTCACCGCTCTTTGGCCACATATGCACAGGGTTATCGTATGTGGTCCATTACTCATCTCCAGTCACCATCCGTTTAAGAAATGGGTCTATTTCATTCCGTTTGGCCAAGGCTTCGCAGATGGAAATTCGATCCATCCTAATTTTTTCTGTTAATTGGTGTGGGACCAAAAATCGAGATTTTTATACCCTTCACCACACTTTGGTACAGGGTATTATGTCTTTGTGCATATGTTTGTAACAGGCAAAAATAATCGAGATAGACCCATGGTTCCTTTTGAGAATATGCATAGAATCACTTTCTGAGTCGATTTATGCATGTCCGTCCGTCCATGTATTTTTGTTAACAAAGTACAGGTCGCATTTATGATCCGATTTGGATGAAATTTGGCACAGGTCACTTAATTGGCCCAAGGACGAACCCTATTGAAATTGGAGAAAATCGGTCCACGTTTAGGCATAGCTCCCATATAAGGGTACCCCCAAATTTTCGGTATTTTGAGGTTCTTGAGCGCGTTTTTTAACTGAATTCGCTGAAATTTTGTACATTGAGTTCTTATTGGGTAGCAAATCTCCCTACCAAAAATTATAAATAAAGGTCCATTTTTTCGGATAGCCCCCATATAAGATTACCCCCAATTTTCGGTATTTTGGGGGTTTTGATCGCATTTTTCGACCGAATTCACTGAAATTTGGTACTTTGTGTTCTTATTGGGTAGCAAATCTCCCTACCAAACATTATAAATAAAGGTCCATTTTTTCGGAAAGCCCCCATATAAGGGCACCCCCAATTTTCGGTATTTTCGGGTTTTTGGGCTCGTTTTATAACTGAATTCACTGAAATTTTGTACATTGGGTTCTTATTGGGTACCAAATTACTCCACTAAAAATTATAAATATAGGTCCAGTTTTTCTGGTAGTACCCATATAACGGTACCCCAAAATTTTTTGTATTTTGGGGGTTCTGATCGGATTTTTCGACCAAATTGACTGTAATTTAGTACGTCGAGTTCTTATTAGGTAGCACATCTCTCCACTATAAATTATAAATATTGGTCAATTTTTTCTGGTAGCCCCCATGTTTTGAGGTTCTTGAACCAAATTATTTTTTCTGGTACAGGGTATTATGTTTTTGTGCATATGTTTGTAACATGCAAAAATAATCGAGATAGACCCATGGCTCTTTTTGAGAATATGCATAGAATCACTTTTTGAGTCGATTTAAGCACGAAATTTGGCACAGCGTAGCAAATTAGGTCTAGAATGATATGTGTAAAGTTGCCTGAAAATCGGTTCAGATTTATATATAGCTCCCACATATACTTTCGTCAGATTTAATGTAAATGGTGCACCAAAGTCCCTATATATCTTTCGATTTGCACGAAATTTGGCACAGCGTAACAAATTAGGTCTAGAATGATGTGTGTTAAGTTTCCTGAAATCGATTCAGATTTAGATATAGCTTCTATATCAGTATCGGTTGCAGAATGACGTGTTTATGGTTCCAATTTCATTTTACTGGTCCTTTAAAAATGCGACTTCTGTTAGGATTCATCTGTTGAATATACTCAAAGTGGTGAAGGGTATCATATAGTCGGCCCCGTCCGACTTTACTACTTTCCTTACTGGTTTCAATCCAGCTTTGTGTAAATGGTTTAAACAGTTTGAGCTCGATTTTTAGCTCCTGGGCGATGTTACGACTGCTATCATGTGGAAATATGTAATATCACAATCTGAAAGTACATCTGTATGTGGGATATACTAAAACACATGATGGCTATACCAAGGTCGTCTAACCATCAAAGGACAAATATTAGGTTTTAGAAAATTTGGATCATTTCACCATGACTTCAATTGTGCGTACGGAATGTATTTGATTCGAACTATTTAAGGTGTAAGTTTTTGTTCTGAATATATTCTATATTTTATTTCTATAAAACAAAACAAAGCAGAACCTTAATTAGATGCATCTCTTTTGTTTCACAGCAACATGTTGCGAAACATTTTTTAAAGATCTGTTCTATTCGACGTCGAGCATCATTATCAAATATTCACATTAGCATAACAATAGCTAGAGAAATTTGTTTTAGACTCTGTATCGATTTATTTTGATTAGAAATACCCAAAGCATTGCATGAATGCAAAACAGTTTGTATCTGTCCATCATCTTAGAACGTTCGTTGGTTCGATCGTTGAGGGTTTGAACGGGTTGTTTGCTTGTTTTGTAAAAACAAAATAACAAATCTAACTAAACAACAGCTTCAAGCAAGAAAAAAATTAAATAACCAAAATTGACGAAAAATAAACAAAAAATATAAATAAAAATATTTCCAATCAAACAAAGAAGAAATAATTAGTCAAACAAAAAAGTGTAAAAAATTATTACTAAATAAATGATGTGGAAATTTATAGTAACTATGATGCTATTAGCATCATCATTAAAAAGTTCGATGACACAGGAAGTTGCCACCGCCACTGTGATAACGACAACAACAACACCAACGGAAAGTTCAAATTTTACCAATAAATTGCAAACGGAAATTGAAGAAAAAAGAAGGGAAGATGAAAATTCCTCAATAACTGATATACCAGCAACAACAACAGAAATAGCAACAGTACTTAATGTAACACAGGACACCACTACAACAACAGAAGCAGCAGCAACAACGGCAGCACCAGTCAATAGTAACAAAATTGAGCTAATAACTGATGCTCCTCCATTAACGACAACCACAACGAAGATGACTAACCAGACCACAACCTCACACACTGATCCGCATACAGACGATGTAGGTCCTTTTACCACCACCCACACACCAACCTTCAGCACTACCACAACTGAGTCGCCAATAAGTTCATCTTCTTCTTCTCCTCCGACATCGTCGTCGTCCCCATCATCATCATCGCCTAACGTTACTTTGACCTCTGATCTGTATTGTAACCCCTCGCTGTGTGAATCATACAACGGCACCCACACACAAGTGTTGCCACACGTTGCTTGCCACAATCCTGGGCACTTTGCTGCAACCTGCGGTGCCCAACCACACCTGCTGCACATGAGCGAACGACGTCGTAATCTCATTTTGGCTTTGCATAATTTGGCACGTTCCCGCATAGCATCGGGTCAAGTGGCCGGTTACAAACCAGCCTCGCACATGCCACAAATTAAATGGGACACCGAATTGGAGCATTTGGCCACGTTGCACGTGCAACGTTGCAGCTTTACTCATGACCTGTGCCGCAATACGCCCCGCTTTCCCTACAGCGGCCAGAATATCGGTTACTATTGGATAAGACGTGAAATCAAGTCGCATTCTCGTCGCATGAAAAACTTTATTGTCAATTGGTTTAAGGAACACATCGATGCCAATCAATCATTCATTGATGCGTATCATTTGCATCCGGAGGGGTGAGTAGACTCAGTCACGAACATATGTGCATTCGTTTGTTTGTTCGATAAAATGGAAAGCCTTGATACTCTCTGAAAGGAAATGGTTCAGCCGCACATTTTCTGGCAAATTAAACTTCTTGTTTGAAAAAAGGAGAAATCTCCACTGCGAAAAAAAAGAATCGAAAACAATTCCCAGAATCCCAAAGCCTATTAATGTCGTGAAATTTCTTAAGCTCAACCAGAACACTTTCCATTGTGATCATTTGAAACACTTTCACACTTTTCGTATGAATAATTTATTAAACAAATTTAGTTTAGCGTATCATGCAAATTCTCAAATTCTGATTTTTTTAATGAAAAAACAAATCAAGCGTTGAAAGCGAATGGCTTTAACTGTCTCATAAATATCTTAATTTGCAAAGGAACAAGTCTAGTTTAGGGGCTCCACTCGGATCGCTTTGAAATTTTTACCGTAAGTAGTCCTCGTTGAGCTGATTACAGTGATATATATTTTATGTGGGGGAAATGCATACTTCCCGAGATATGGGCCTTGAAAGTTCGGAGAATATCCTATGGACAGGCGCACACATGGCTACGCAATACAAATCCTTTTTTAAGAGCAATTTTCAAATCAAATTTAAGGTTTTTTAAGTAGCCGGCCTTCGGCCGGGGCTTAAGACTTTCAACTATGGACAGACGCATACATGGCTACGCAATCCAAATCCTTTTTTAAGAGCAATTTCTAAACCAAATTTAGGTTTTTTTTAAGTAGCCGGCCTTCGGCCGGGGCTTAAGACTTTCACCTATGGACAGACGCATACATGGCTACGCAATCCAAATCCTTTTTTAAGAGCAATTTTCAAATCAAATTCAAGGTTTTTTAAGTAGCCGGCCTTCGGCCCGGGCTTAAGACTTTCGCCTATGGACAGGCGCATACATGGCTACGCAATCCTAATCCTTTTTTAAGAGCAATTTTCAAATCAAATTTAAGTTTTTTAAGTAGCCGGCCTTCGGCCGGGGCTTAAGACTTTCACCTATGGACAGGCGCACACATGGCTACGCAATACCAATCCTTTTTTAAGAGCAATTTTCAAATCAAATTTAAGGTTTTTTAAATAGCCGGCCTTCGGCCGGGGCTTAAGACTTTCAACTATGGACAGACGCATACATGGCTACGCAATCCAAATCCTTTTTTAAGAGCAATTTCCAAACCAAATTTAGGTTTTTTTAAGTAGCCGGCCTTCGGCCGGGGCTTAAGACTTTCACCTATGGACAGACGCATACATGGCTACGCAATCCAAATCCTTTTTTAAAAGCAATTTTCAAATCAAATTCAAAGTTTTCTAAGTAGCCGGCCTTCGGCCGGGGCTTAAGACTTTCACCTATGGACAGGCGCATACATGGCTACGCAATCCAAATCCTTTTTTAAGAGCAATTTTCAAATCAAATTCAAGGTTTTTTAAGTAGCCGGCCTCCGGCCGGGGCTTAAGACTTTCACCTATGGACAGGCGCATACATGGCTATGCAATCCAAATGTTTTTTCTTTCAATTTTAGTTAATATTATATAATTTTTAATGATATACTATATTTATTTTTAAAGCACTATTCAAACCCTTTAAAATGATACCCATATTGCTTTGGTGGCATTAGTAAAACGGCCGTTTTAACCAAGGTATATTCCAAACTTTCAAGGCCCATATCTCGGGAAGTATGCATTTCCCCCAAATAAAATATATATCACTGTAATCAGCACAACGAGGACTACTTACGGCAAAAATTTCAAAGCGATCCGGGTGGAGCCCCTAAACTAGACTTAAGCCAATATGAAAAACTAGAGACTGATTTAGAGATTCTATAAATAGAGAGAATTTCTCAATTGGAATATTTTTCAATATCTTGATCTATACTTTCAGACAGAAGTGAGCTTTTTTTGGAACTTTTTTAAAGTTTATCAAAAAATGTTAATTTTAAATAATATATATAGATTCAATATGATATATAGGTCCGAATATTCATATATATGGAGGCTTCAGGGAACGTTTTTCAACCTAATTGGCTTTAATTTTGTATTTAGGGTGCTTACAGGGTAGAAAATCTTCTTTTTTCAGCATTTATCTGGTAGGATAAACACATTTATCAAATTTTATACATAGCCTCTATAAAAAGGCTCCACTTCTTTGGGTACTTTTAACGTTTTAAAAGGATTTGCCTATTTACAATGAAGTAGTCAACATATATGAACATATGTTTGATATATTGTATTTGTTTTTCTATATTTTATATTTATATCAAAATAATTTGGAAAATGCATATGTGAATTTTGTAGACACTAACGACTCAATTTTAGTTATTTTCAACATTTTAAACTTATTCTCCCCTTCCACTGGCTGCAATTCATATTTCGGGCTCTGGTATGATAAACACATTTATCCAGAAAATGTTCTACATATGTCTATATTTGATATATTTGCCTAAAATGCTATGTATGTCTGACATAAGGACATAACCCATGTTCATGTTTTTTTTACAATGACATAGTCAACATATGAAAACTTGTTTGATACATTGTATTTGGCATTTATATCAAAATAATTTGGAAAATGCATATGCGAATTTTATAGACGCCAACGACCTGAAAAACTAAACAATGGAATGCAAAACATATCACAATCGAGTGAGTAGAGAGAGGGCAGTTATTAACAAGTGAAACATTAGACAAACAAACGGTTGTAAAACTAACAACCACCAAGTGAGGGGAAGATGATACCAACACAAAACATAGCCAATAAACGAATGGTGGTTTTGGTTTTTATTCTTCGGAAGAATGCATTTGTTTTTGTCAACAAGAGAGAGATAGAGAGAGGAAAAATGAGCGCAAATAGTAGCAAAGTAAAGTAAAGCGAAGTAGTAAATTAGTTTCAATATTAATAAAATATTTACATTTTTTTTTTTGTAAATCATATTTTAAATTTCTGTGGAAATACAAAGGAGTCAAAATTTACCATCCTAATGTGCTCAATCGCCACGTGACCAGTTATGTCCGTAAAACAGGCAACTATTTTCCTTTATTGTAATAAAAAACAGGGACCGAAAATAACAGTTATTTTTTAAAATGCGAACAAAATAATCTTCATGTTAGAGACATGGGACACTAATAGTGTCATATACCAATATATTCGTACTGAGGAGCCCATTGAGGATATTGAGTGATCTTGAGAAAACACTCTCAGTTCCCATGTTAAGGATTATTTTTTAACGGAAAAAATAAACGTTGATTTTTAACTGTTAAAAATGATTTTTATTTTTTCCGTCAAAAATAAAAGTCTTTTTGCGATTTTTATTTTTTCCGTCAGAAAATAAAAGTCTTTTTGGGATTTTTATTTTTTCCGTCAAAAATAACAGTCTTTTTGGGACTTTTATTTTTTCCATCAAAAATAAAAGTCTTTTTGGGATTTTTATTTTTTCCGTCAGAAAATAAAAGTCCTTTTGGGATTTTTATTTTTTCCGTCAGGAAATAAAACTCTTTTTATGTAAAGAAGTTTATACAACTTGTAATCAGTTAGAAAATTACAATTTATAAATCTCTGTCCTTATTACAATAAGTGTACACATAAGTAATCAAGATCAAAGGTAAAAAATATTTGTTATAAATTTTTAAAAAATAGTCTAGTGTACCAAATCATGAATATAAATTAAAGAATCATTCCCCTGACTATTAGGTCAAAGGTTATATAACTGGTACCAAACTCTATATGTTTATTTACGTAAAAAGACTTTTATTTTCTGACGGAAAAAATAAAAATCACAAAAAGACTTTTATTTTTGACGGAAAAAATAAAAATCATTTTTAACAGTTAAAAATCAACTTTTATTTTTTCCGTTAAAAAATAAATAATTAAAGTGGATTTTTTTTATTTAGGTCACATAATAACAGTTATTTTTTACCTGATTTGATATAAGTTATAACCGTTACGGTCCCTGATAAAAAACATGGACCGATATATCCTATTTTCAATACAAAACGTCCTAGCTATGGGACTTTAGTACACCATTTACTTAAAATCGGACGAAAGTATATATAGAGGCAATATGTAAATCTGAACCAATTTCAAGAAAACTTGACACACGAAAGTTTATAGTAACTTCAGTACATTGTACAAAATTGTGTGCGGGTCGGCCAATCTTTAGTGCACAATTTACATTAAATCGGACGAAATATATATTGGAGCTATATCTAAATCTAAACCGATTTTAACACATCATTCTGGATCCAATTCAGTACCCTATGGCAACCTTCGTGCAAATCGAAAGATGTATAAGGACTTTGGAGACCGATTTACCTTAAATCGGACGAAAATATATATGGGAGCTATATCTAAATCTGGACCGATTTTCACGAAACTTAGCACACATTATTCTGGACCTAATTCAGTACTCTATGCCAAGTTTCGTGCAAATCGAATGATATATAAAGACTTTGGTGCACCATTTACATTAAAACGGACGAAACTATATATGGGAGCTATATCTAAATCTCAACCGATTTTCTCGAAACTTGGCACAAATCATTCTGGACCTAATTCAGTACTCTGTGCCAAATTTCTTGCCAATCGAGAGATATAGAGGGGCTTTGGTGCCCCATTTACCTTAAACCGGACAAAAATATATATGGGAGCTATATCTAAATCTGAACCGATTTTTCCCAATTTCAATAGGGTTCGTCCTTAGGCCAAATAAGTAACTTGTGCCAAATTTCATCCAAATCGGATCATAAATGCGACCTGTACTTTGTTTACAATTTAACATCTACAGACGGACGGACATGCATAAACCGACTCATACAGTGATTCTATGCATATTCTCAAAAGGAACCATGTGTCTATCTCGTTTCCTTTTGCCTGTTACAAACATATGCACAAAGACATAATACCCTGTACCACAGTGTGGTGAAGGGTATAAAAATTGGAAAAAATATCGATATGTCGCCGATTTTAATGTTAAGGATAGCAAGTGCACACAACTTCGTTTGCGCCTTTTGAAGTGGGGTATTTTCCATTCGTTTAAATATTACAATTTAAAATTACATGTCGTTTCAATAAATCAATCTTTGACCACGAATTTCATATTATTTCGTACTATTTATACCCTGAACCACAGTGTTTTGTCATTTTGTAACAGGCAGAAGAAATCGAGATATACCCATAATTCCATTGGGAAAACGCGTAGAATCACTTTCTGAGTCGATTTAAGCATGTCCGTCCGTCTGTCCGTCCGACTGTTGATGTTAAATTGTGAACAAAGTACAGGTCGCATTTATAATCCGATTTGGAGGAAATTTAGTACAGTTCATTTTTTGGACGAACCCTATTGAAATTGAAGAAAATCGATTCAGATTTAGATATCCCATATATATTTTCGACCGATTTTATGTACATGGTGAAAAGATATAAAGATACTTTATATCTTTGCCCGAAATTTGGCACAGCTAAATGGATTCAGATTTAGATATAGCTCCCATATATATATTTTTAACAGTGCAACATACAGAATAGCGTGTGTCAAGTTTTCTTTAAATCGATTTACAAAATTTAGCATAGATTGCTGAATGGCATGTGTTAGTCGGTTTACATATAAATAAAGATCACATGATTAAGTTCCTTCAGAAGGAGTAGATTAATTAGTCTCATATTCGGACTTGATCTAGGCTTGGTAAAGAAAATAGGTTGTGCAAATTTAAAATATTAAAAAAATTTAACATTTGTGGTTGAGGTACCAGAAGAAGTGGACCAATGGGTCCCATCTTCCAACTTGATAATATTATCAAAAAATTGTTTGCAAAATTTTTTGTACAAAAAGGAAGGTCCAATATTCCCCATCTTCCAACTTGAACTAAAGTTTGAAGACATATTACGATGTGCAATGTTTGGACGAATTCGGTTACTCCAGTTGAGTGACAGACATTTGTAAATTGACTCCAAACCAAAATTTCGATAAGGCACATTTTTTTCCATATCAAAGGGTGAGGGTATAAAAAGTATTTAAAATGTTTAAATATGTTTTTAGATTATAAGAACTATTAAAAAATTATAGTTGACCTTCTGATCAAAAAGAAAAATGTTTTAGAGGCTGTCTAACCAATAAACAGTGATTTTATATAGAATATTTGTAGAGGACCATCAGTCAATATTTATAGGTGACTATAAGAAAAATGCTTTTAGAGGAATGTCAGTCATAAGAATGAAATTTTAAAAGAATAATTTTATGCGGATTATCCCTACAATAACCGTGGAGATTTAAACGCTGTTTAGAGGGTTATAAGAAGTATAAGCGTGGATTTGTTAATGAATATTTCAATAGAACCATCCCTATAATAAGCTTGGCTTTTTTAAATAATATTTCTAGATTAATATCAAAAGCATAAACGCGTCTTCCGAATCTAACACCCCATTTACGTATTCTAATATAGATTTTCAAACTCATCAGAACTAGTTCAAATAATTTCATTACATAAATGTGTGTATTACCTTTCTAATTACAATACTATTACAATTCAATCAAAGCATAGAACACTTTTATTTTTTGTATTGTATTACAAACAGACCGGAAAAGTAGCAGGCGTCAAATCATTAAACGCTTTTCGTAGAGGTGTTACACAAACAAATCTATTCAAATAGAACTCCATTGTTTAGATGACCCGAGGCATGACAGTTTGCAACACTTAATTTTCTATTGTTTTACAATATTAAACTTTTACCGTGTTGTACAATAATTACTCATCGTAATCGTAAACAGGGAAAAGTTAGTTGGAATTAAAGGTAACATAATAAAAATATGCTATATATTATACTATACAAAGTGTAAAAACATATAACTATCAAAAAAAAAAAAAATATGTTTTATGGACTAAGGGATAAGGAGGCAGATTCGTATATATGCAATTACATCACTGTGTACCAAAGAGACGGATATTTTTTTAAAATGTTTTATTTAAACCAATCTTTAAATATATTAAAATGTCTATTTATTTCCATTTTTCAGCAAGAAAATTGGTCACTTCACACAAATGGTAGCCGATCGTGTACATCGTGTCGGTTGTGCTGCAATTCGTTATCATGAACCGGATCAACCACTGGATACTAAATTCCTAATGACCTGCAATTATGATTATACAAATATCTATACGGAACCAATATATCAGAGTGGACCACCAGCATCGAAATGTGCCTATAATATAAGTGAAGAATATCCGGCTCTATGCGATTGGAAAGAAGCTAACTATGAATATGAAATTGAAGACGAAGTGGCGGAGAATGCCACATTTAATGATGTACGATATTAATGATGTTCGTTGTCGACAACGACAACGATTCGATGATAAATAGTATATGTGATAATTATTATTGATTTGGTTTAAGTTTATTTAGTTAGTTAAATATTTGTTAAAGAGTAATTATAAGAGTGATGTGAATGTGACATATTGTAGTAATTAAATAATCGCAAGATAAAAATATAACGGAAATTCAAAACACAAAAAGCCCAAAACTCAATTCCGTTTTTAGTGCTGTTGTGGTGTTATGGCGAGTGACTTACTCACGCCCAGCTGAAATCTTGAAATTTTACATGTGGAACATTATTTGCGGTTCGATTAGTTATAAGGCTTAATTTTTAGAACATTGTACCATAAGAGTTAATACAAAATATAATTTAAGAGACTAGCGAGAAAAGAGTGTCCGTACAAACATACGAGTTCCCCAAAGTGAGTTACTCGAAATGTAAAATGCGGTGAGACTATCAATCGGTATTGAGAGATTACCTCTTTTAGTGGCTTACTGATCCGAGGTTCATTAAATGATGTGTACATGAAAGCAAAGTTACAGCATTATGAAGTATTCCCATATCGATGCTTCCAGGAAGTCTTTATTAGCGACAAGGACTGTCAGAAATTAATTTCAAGAAAGAGTTCTGACAAAAGCAGAGGTATGGGAAACATTAAGAATCTCAATTAGGTTTGTCAGAGGCTACTGAGGTCCTATCCTAACAAGTTAGTGAAAATGTAACTTATGTATTTGGCAACGGAGAGGCCAAGAATGGAGTTTATAGACTAACGGCTCTTTTTGAAACTTATACTAAAATGTCTATAACAGTTTTCATATAGCATGGGAAGAGGTTCGAGGGGTTGAGAATTCCTAGAAGTGCACAAAAATAACCAAATGCTAATACATTTGGTACCATTGTTAACGGGTGAATGAGTAGAGCTTGAAGCCTGCAAATTAGATCACTTTTGGTGCATAAAGTAAGAAAAGTACTGAATGGTACTAAATTAAGTACAATAGTTGGTGGGTGGACGAATAGAACAATAATACTTAAATTAAAAGTAACATACGCTATTGGTGTTTACGATTCAATGAAGAGGCTGTATTAGCCAATACGTACTAAATGACCCTAAAATTAGTCTTTACATGCGGTATTGAAAAGTGGTGTATAGGGCTAAGGTAAGAATGTGTTAATTCATTATAATAAAGTACGAACATTTCCAAATATTAATATTTATACCCTACACAACTATGTTGTGATGGCATTATAGCTTTGTGCAGCCCCAAAAGTTTGTAACGCCGCGAAATATTGGTCCTAGACCCAACTTTAAGTATACCGATCGTCATATCTCGACTAGCTGAGACGATCTAGACATGTGTATCCGTCCGTCCGTCTGCCCATTACAATTTGTCAACACGATACAGGCTACAGTTATGGACCAATCTTCACGACATTTTGCATGTAGGATGGGTTCTGGCCAATGAAGACCCCTATTGTTTTTGAAAAAGATCGGTTAATATTTAGGGGATGAAATGGACCAAAAACTTTATTTTTGTCGGTTTTTCTGGTCGCCCAAGAGGCCGCAATTATGACCCAAACACCGGAGAAGGGGATCGGGGCAGAGAATAAGCATGCATGTTTTGATAAAGATCGGTCAATATTTAGCGGGTCAAGTGAACCCTGACTTTTGTGTGAAAAATTACAAAATTTGCATTCTATGGCATATATATTTACCGCTGAAGAACATAGACCAGAGAAGTTGATAGTATATCCAAGAGGAGTGGTTGGCCTTTAAATTGATACCAATTACATTGTCGTATGTACTCGGATGTGGGAGTTACATTAAAATATTTACAGGTACTTACGTACTGAGATATTATTTAGTAACCCATTACCACACTAGAAGGCGAAAATATAGCGCTGATCGATTTTAAAGTTTCCATGAGGTTCAGGTTATGGTCAAGGACAACGCCTATGCCACAATTATAAGCAGAATGTTACACTGGAGAATGAATCTGGCCAACTAATTTGATGGGCTTTTGTAATAATCTGTCACTATTCAGCGGGTCAAGTCAACCAAGACCTTTCTGTGTAAAATGAAAAAATGGATATTATGATATACAACATAATTCGAAAAAGATGTCATGGCAAAAAATAGGAGCTATTGACCTCTAATCGGTTAAGAGGGTGCAAATAGATATAAATCTGCAGAAAGTTAGAGTTCCGTGGTAGTTGTGTAGGGTATCATATGGTCGGCCCCGTCCGACTATACTGCTCCACTCACTGGTTTTTTTACATTTAATAGTGGTTCGCTATGAATGTATAACTTACCGAAGGTGGTAAGTATTAAAGTGTTCAAAATGTTACTAAACTTCATATGAAACGATATTCGGGTTCTCAATACATAGAAAACACCTATTTTTGTAACGATGTCATCCGAATTCAGACATTGTGAAGGTGTTAGCCACCTAATAAAAGAGTAAAGTAATTGACTGACTTACGGCGGAAGCTAGAATCTTGATTTGGGGTAGGAGTCTCTCTTGGTCCAAATGTGTCAGATAAGGCAGGGTTTTTGGAAACACATTTAGTACACGAAAAGTACTAAATGTGTTTCCATTTGTATTTTGCGAACCGATAGAGCTAGAACTCTTAAGTATCCAAAAAGTACTAGAATGTACTAAATTTGGTACAATTTCGTAGCATGTGAATGGATAGACCTAAAAACTTGAAATTTGAAATGGGAATTAAGGTTGGGCAGAAGGGTCGATATACGGAGGTGATTTTGAAAGCGTGTACTCTCGTATATGAAAAGTACAAAACTGTACTAAATTTGGTACAATTTGAATTTGAAGAAACGGATGGAGCAGGAATCCTGAAATTTGAAATCAACATTACCGTTGGTACAATTTGAATTTTGGAAGAACCGATAGAAAAGGAATCCTGAAATATGGAGTTAGTATCACTGTAAATTTGGCATAATTTTAATTATGGATAGAGCTGGAATCCTGAAATTTGGAGTTGGGGTGTAAGATTGGAATATGTAGGAAATTTTTGGAAATTTGTACTAATGTGCATTAAATGGTAGTAAAAGTTGATTTGGGTGAACCGATAAAGCTGGAATCCTGAAAGTGGGAAATAATATTTCCATTGGTTGTATGATATAGGTAGTTTTGAAAATTCGTACATATGTGTACTTAATTTGGTACAATTTGAATTTTTGGTGAACCGATAAAGTTGGAATTTTCCAAAATTGGAGTTATGATTACTGTTGGAGTGTAGGATTGGAGTACATAGGAAGTTTTGGAAATTCATACCAATGTGTTTTAAATGGTACTAAATTTGGTAAAATTATATTCGGGCTGGAATCATGAAATTGCGAAATATGATTTCTATTCGTTTTATATTAGTGTGTACTAAATGGTAATAAAAATTAAAATTTGGGTTAACCTATTGAGATCTAATCATGAAGTTTGGAATTGGTTTTGAAAATAAGTAATTACGAAAGGTAATAAATGATAACAAAATTGTGTAGTGGTGAGATTATGAGGTAGTTTTAAAAATACGTACTATAATATAACAAAGAAACAAAATGGTACTAAATTGTAATTATGGTCAGTATTGGTGTGTAGGTTGATTAGCTCTTCTGGCTATGCAGTTCTCTGTGAAAATAAATGATAGATAATTCTCACGTTCGCTAACGACATATCCTAACATTTTCTAGAAAAATTATCTGAAGTGTGACATTTCGAGTCCAAAATACAGAAAATATACAATACCACGTCCACGTTTTGACATAGCCCCGTGTACAGGTGTCATCCAATTTTGTGATGGTCTTATGCTCATCTTCAAACGAAAGTGGTTTGTCATTTAGCGTTTTGGTGGGCAGAAAAAAAATTTCTTCAAAGAAAAATTTCAGCATAGGACCCTGTTTTTAAATAGTGATAATATAAAGATCCCTACCTTTTTATACCCTTCACCACACTGTGGTACAGGTTTGTAACAGGCAAAAGGAAACGAGATAGACCCATAGTTCCTTTTGAGAATATGCATAGAATCACTTTCTGAGTTGATTTATGCATGTCCGTCCGTCCGTCTGTTGGTGTTAAATTGTAAACAAAGTACAGGTCGCATTTATAAACCGATTTGGATGAAACTTGGCACAGCTCATTTGTTTGGCCCAAGGACGAACCCTATTGAAATTGGGAAAAATCGGTTCAGATTTAGATATAGCTCCCATATATAGTTTTCTCCGATTTTATGTAAATGGTGCACCAAAGTCTCTATATATCTTTCGATTTGCACGAAATTTGGAATAAGGGACTGAATAGAGCCTAAAGTAATGTCTGCCAAGTTTGGAGAAAATTGATCCAGATTTAGATATAGCTCCCATATATAGTTTCGTCCGACTTTATGTAAATTGTACACCAAAGTCCCTAAATATCTTTCGATTTGCACGAAATTTGGCACAGCATACTGAATTAAGCCTAGAATAATGTGTGCTAAGTTTCGTGAAAATCGGTCCAGATTTAGATATAGCTCCCATATATAGTTTCGTCCGATTTCATGCAAATGGTGCACCATTTGCACGAAATTTACCGTAACGTACTGAATTGAGCCTAGAGGAAGGTCTGCCAAGTTTCGAGAAAATCGGTCCAGATTTAGATATAGCTCCCATATACTGTTTCGTCTGATTTCATGTTAATGGTGCACCAAAGTCCCTATATATATTTCGATTTGCACGAAATTTGGCATAATTAGGCTGATAGGAACAAATCGTACTGAAATTAGTATAACCAAACCTGTGGCAAGTTTCGTTGAAATCGCTCCATATGTGGATATAGCTTCCACATATATTTTCGCTTGATTTTAAGTAAATGGTGCATCCAGATTGTCAGATTGACATGAACTTTTGCACAACGTACAAAATTGAGCATAGAATAACGTTGCGTTTTCTAGAAGTACATACATAGCCCAACGATTTACATACTTTTGTCCCATTGTAACAAACGAATGACATGTTTATGCTTAGATATAGGTAGATTCACATTTAGATAAATATTGCATATTTTATTTCATCCAATTTCATGTTAATAGTCCTGTTTAATATACCCATAGTGGTGAAGGGTAACATATAGTCGGCCCCGTCCGACTTTACTACTTTCCTTACTGGTTTTGTATGTTGATGATCCTAGACGCATTTTCCAACCACTTCGGTTTAAAGTCATTTCGGGTTTTAGGTGGGTAAAAGTTTTAGGTGGGAAGGTCCTAATTACCCTGAATCTGTAATTTGGTATTTCGTATTCTCAGATGCATAGCATAAATGTACATACTCCACAATCGTAGATTTGTAGAGTAATATCAGAAGCAAAACCGTCAATTTGTTAACTAATATGTTTATTAAAGTTCTATTCTAAAGGGACAGACTATCCATACAATTAGCTTGAAATGTTTAAAGAATATTTTATAGGAGCGTCTTACAATAAGTGTCTCACATTTAAATAATATCCTAAAATAAGGGTCAATTTTGTACAGAATATTTTTAGAGGACCTTCAGCAAATTTTTATTTCGTCATATAGCATCCACTTAAAGGCCCAAGTTCGCCCCATCGGAGCGATCGGGCAAATATATCGGATTGGGAAATAATGTTCATTAAATCTAGGAAGAATTAATGAGGGGTTTCACCAATTGTAGAGTCTGTCCCTGGTAAAAGTAAATGAGTGTAAAATGAAATCACATAAGTTTTGACACTGTTTCTGTTTTCAAATCTGGCAATACTATGAAGGTTAATTTTTAATAGCCCATGTGACGGAAAATTTTTTAAGGTAGTGAAATAATTTTTTAAGGTCAAAATAATTGAAATCGCTTTTGCAAACGGATCTATTATAATTTGGAATTCACAAGGACACATATCAGAAATTTTTGAGAATATTTAATATTGCTCTGTATCGTAATAAATTGAATCCATTATTGTAATAAAATATATCATCCTTATTCAATAACCCTATTTCATTACAATGATCTGGATATTACAAAGAACCAGAAAAACCATTATAAATACAGGTGTTATGATTGCGATTTTTCATTATTTCCATATTGGCGTGAGTAGGAAATATTAATAGCTTTCAGCAGTTAAATATTGCAACTGGAAACACAAAAAAACATGGCTTTGAACTTCAATATATTTAAAATATTAATTTTAGTTTTGAGTGTTTTTAGTATAGCCAAGTCTATAAATTATTGCAGTAAAAATTTGTGTCAAGATAAGACACACATTGCCTGCAATAACAATGGGGTAAGAGTACACGACATTTACTACAAATTTTTGTAAGTCATTGCAATTGTGTTTTTCATCGCTCGCAGAGTTTTAGTCCACGATGTGAAAATCCCAAAATAGTGACAATAACTCCCAAAATACGCGATTTCATTGTGAATCGTCACAATCAGCTGCGTAATCAAATAGCCAAGGGGTTTCCACCATTTAAACCGGCCGCCCGCATGGCCACAATGCGTTGGCATGGGGAATTGGCCAGATTGGCTGAGTTAAATGTACGCCAGTGTGCAATGATTCATGATGAGTGTCGTAACACGGATGCATTTAGATATGCGGGACAAAATCTGGGTGAAATTCGTTCAAGTCGTGCAATAGATGTCTTAAAGGCTTTGAAGTTTCAAATTCAGTCGTGGTTTGATGAATACAAAGATACCCCGGTGGATTTGATTGATAAGTTTAGATCGTTGGAGAGTGGGTAGGTATTGCGGACATACGTTACTATTATGGGTTTTTAATACATTTTATTTCAGGGCACAAATCGGTCACTTTACTGCCATAATTCAGGATAAATCTACGCATATTGGCTGTGCTATTATGCATCAGACTTTACTCACCGGTAGACATCATCAATTACTGGCTTGTAATTATGCCTACACTAATGTTCTACACAGACCTGTGTATGTAACCGGAAGAAGTGCTAGTAAATGTACCACAGGTACCAATGCAAATTATACTTCGTTATGTTCTGTCAATGAAAAATATAGTTTGGTACCTTAGATGGTATTTATAATTGAATAAATAACAAATTAATAAAATGTAAACAAAATTAAATAAAAAATATCAGTTGGTTTAGCCGATGAGAATTATCATGGGCCGCAAGTTCACCCATAAGAACTATAAAAAAGGGTTGAGCCGTCGGTTTAGTTGCCCACACTCGGAAAAAACCAATACAATGAAAAAAAAACAACAACGAAAAAGCGAAATTCTTCTACATCAGCCTCATTTGCGCCCCTGATCCGACCAAAGACCTATTTTACGAGCGCCTAGGAACAGCATATGAGCGCTGCTCTGGTCATGACATTAAAAATCTGCTAGGGTATTTTAATGCAAAAATTGGAAGGGAAAATATTTTTGGAAAATTCAGCCTTCATGAAGAAACATCCGACAACGACAGCAAAAAACATGGTAGTTAGCAGCACCAGATTCAAGCATCACGATATACACAAGGCCACCTGGATTTCTCCTGATCAAGCAACGAGAAATCAAATTGATAATGTTGTGATAGACAGTGTTTTAGACGTTAGATATATCCGAGGAGTTAACATCGATTCGGATCATTACCTTTTGGCATCCAAGGTTCGCACCCGTCTTAGTGTAACAGCAAAGGCTTGATCTAATGTAACACGGAAATTTGACGTCGAAAAGCTGCAAACACAACACATAACAGAAGCCTACTCCGCTCAACTTGCCCACCTGCTTGAGGAAAGCACTCCTTGTTCCAATAATAAAATAGAAGCACAATGGCAAAAAATTGCCCACTCCCTATAAACTGCAGCAAAAGCAACACTTTGGTACCGAAAACCACCATCAAGAAACCCATGGTACGATCAGGAGTGTCGTAATGCTACTGATTTGAAAAACGCAGCGTATAGGGCAACCCTGCAGACAGTAACAACACGTAATGCGAGGGAGAATTCTCGGGAGAAAAGGAGAAACGAATTTTCAGAAAGAACAAGAAAAACGTGAGCGCGAGAAAATCAAGATGTACAGGAATCAGAATCAAGTCCGGATATTTGACCAACAAGGCACATCCTCCCGTAGCGATGAAGATGGAAACCTGGTAACGTATACAGAGAGCTTGCTGAGGATCTGGAAGGAAAATTTTGAAAATAGTGGCGGTGAAGAAGATACCCCAGAACCAATAAGAGATAACGGGATATATTGTATGCCACGTAACCAAGATGAGGTCAGAATAGCAATCAATCGGCTGAAAAATAATAAATCAGCAGGTGCCGATGGGTTACAAGCCGAACTATTAAAGACTGGTGGTCGGATGCTGGTAAGGAGCATGCACCAACTGATTAGAACAATCTGGCTAGAGGAATACATGCCAATTTATTGGAATCTCAGCATCCTGTGTCTCGTGTACAAAAAAAGGGCACTAGGCAATATGTACCAACTATAGAGGAATTAGTATCATTCGCCTCGCATATAAAATCTGGATAGCACTTTCTTTGTGAACGACTGAAGCCTAGGATCAATGACATTATTGGATCATACCAATGCGGCTTGAGACCTAGAAAATTAACCATAGACCAGATTTTCACACTGCGCCAAATCCCGGAAAAAAATCCCACGAAATATACATCGACACATTCCACCTATTCGTCGACTATAAAGTTGCATTCAACAGCCCTATCCGTTCAGAGGTATTTAAAGCCATGTCAACGTGCGGCAATCCTGCAAAATTAATACGGCTATGCAGGATAACTTTTAGTGGCACAAGGTCAGAAGTTAAAGTCGGAACGGACCTGTCGGAGCCCTTTAATTCCGAACGAGGATTCAGACAAGGTGACAGTTTGTCGTGTGACCTATTTAACATGCCGCTGGATAAGGCCATACGAGGGGCAAAGGTGAACAAAAAAGGCACTCTTTACACCAAACAACACATATTACTCGAACTTTGAGAGCGGTAACAGTCAACTTTGAACAAATTGAGAAGGAGTCTGCCAAAGTTAGTCTGGCAGTAAAAGACGAGAAGACCAAACTGATGGTGTCAACGCGAAAGACGTCCAGTAGACTCGGACCAACTGTGGAATTTGATAATTACAGCTTCGAGGTAGTTAACGATTTTATATACCTTGGTACCGCTTCTGGGGTTGTTTGAGAGAAAATGTCTCCGTAAGATCTACGGTCCGATCTGTGTCGACAGTGAATATCGGCGTCGAATAAACCACGAGCTTTACAATCTATACGCGGACATCGACATAGTCAGTCGTATCGAGCTGCAGCGACTACGGTGGCTAGGCCATGTTGTGCGAATGAATGAGAATGCCTCAGCTCAAAAGGCATATGAAAGCGAGCCTACTGATGGTTCACGCAGAAGGGGAAGGCCATGAATTAGATGGAAAGACCAAGTAGAAGACAGCATCTCGGAACATGATCTTTCAAATTCTACGAATAGTTACAATGTATGTACAATATTTCAATGCTCTGTCTATCTTATGATAAAGATTATAAAAATAGTTTATTATTAATAAAATATTTAACTTTTAAAATGAAATATTCGATGTTCAACAAAAAATCTCTTTCTAATATAGCCATATTCTTCACAAATACGGCATGGCAATTACTACGTCTTTACTGTTAATTAGTGTATGGATTGCTAGAATAAAGAGAAATGTTGTCATTTTCCTATTTATTATTGCTTAAAATAAAATTTAAATAAAATATAATTTCATTTATTTCAATTAAAAGAAAATTAATATTTATTTTAAATTGCTTGAAGATTCTATGAATTTATCTTACCGAAGTACAGTTGAACCTGGCTTATGAAGTTGACATTGTCATTGCTATATGAAAAAACAGAGCGGAACTTTTCAACATTAGTCACTTCAAGGTTCATATTAAATTGAAAATATAAATCTGAAAATCTTGACTAGCACAAAATAGAACAATTTTAAATTTTTAGGTTTTTAATTATCTCCTCTTTTATAAACATTTTGGGACAACCAAGTCGCAACAATCAATGTTTTACTGTATTTGATGGTTCATTAATTTACCCCCAACGTCATTGAAACAGAAATGGGTGATCTTATAAATTTGTATATATTGGAACAAAAGATGATTTATTTGATGTACGTTTTATGTGGTGTATTTACTTTGGTCTATTTAACGCCTAACTTTTGTGTTGTTAAAGAATTCTAAAACAATTGCTTAAATATCAGAGTAAACAATACTAAATATATCGAATGAAATATGTATTTTTTATATTTTCCAAGAAAGGAAGTATAAAAGTATAAACATATGTTATTTTTCGAACATTTGTCAGTAAATATTTCGATAGAACGACACAAGAAAATGTTGGCCTTCAATAAACGGTGTTTGGTGATTTTGTTAGTATTCATATTGGGTACTTTGGATTATTGTACGGCAACGAATTATTGTGATCCTGATTTGTGTTATGGCCTTGAGGGACACATCGGATGTAATCATAATGGGGTAAGTAGGTGGAAGTTGGGAAAAATAAAAAATAATTTTTTGTAAGAAGTAATAAATTTAAAGTGATTTGAACTGATCTCAAAATTGCCGAGTCCCAATACAATAAATGTAAAAACTCCACGTCAGTTCGTTTAAAAAATGGAAGGTAACCTGATCTCAAAATTGCCGAGTCTCAATACAATATATGTAAAACCTCCACGTCATCTCGTTTCCAAATACCCCCTTCAGCTCGTCTATAAAGACTCCCTTCAGCTCGTTTATAAAGACTCCCTTCAGCTCGTCTATAAAGACTCTCGTAAGATCGTCTATAAAAACTCCCTTCAGCTCCCCTACATAGACTCCCTCCAGTTCAACTAAAAAGACTCCCTTCTGGTCGTCTCCAAAGACTCCCGTCAGTCTATAAAAGACTGCCTTCAGCTCCGCTATAAAGACTCTCTTCAGCTCCGCTATAAAGACTCCCTTCAGCTCCGCTATAAGACTTTCAGCTACTAAAAAGACTCCCTTCTGGTCGTCTCCAAAGACTCCCGTCAGTCTATAAAAGACTGCCTTCAGCTCCGCTATAAAGACTCTCTTCAGCTCCGCTATAAAGACTGCCTTCAGCTCCCCCATGGAAACTCCCCTCAGCTCGTCTCCAAAAACTCCCTTCAGCTCGTCCATTTTAAGTTCCACTTTTTCAGTTCAATTCCTCATCTTCTCGCCTCAAAAGATCCCATTTCGCCTCTATTCCCTTCTCCTATATTATTGTGTTTTTTTATTCTAGGAATTTGCCTCCACATGTTATCCCGATGCAAAAATAATACCCATCGATGAAAATTTACGCGAAGACATTGTTCGTAAACACAATGAATATCGTAATCTTGTTGCGGCTGGCTTTGATAGATTTGCACCAGCCTCACGAATGGCCAAAACACATTGGAATGATGAATTGGCCCAATTGGCTGAGCTGAATGTCAAACAGTGTGAAGCTAAACACGATTTGTGTCGTAACACCGATCAATTCAATTTTGCTGGACAAAATATTGCGGTGCGCTATTTTTGGAATGATCAGTTTGATGCCGGTGCAACAGCTCTCGATCAAATCGATCAATGGTTTGATGAATATAAATTGGCATCAATGAAGGATATTCGTGAATATAGAACACCTAGTGATGGGTAAGTGAATAAAAATTCGCTATCATAAAAATTCATCATTATTAAAATTGTAAATTATTTTTTTACAGCACTGTTATTGGTTCCTTTACTGCAATGGTCCAAGAAATGGGAACAGGCATCGGCTGTGCAATATTGCAACAGACAGGTGAACAGGGTATTGTCCAGCAAATATTGACCTGTAATTATTCCTATATTAATATCGAAGGATTGCCTGTCTATGGTATTGGAGCACCTACCAGTCATTGTACCACAGGTCCCGATGCAACATATACTTCGTTGTGCAGCGACAATGAAGTATATGAGGTGAATGATATTCCTCATTATCAAGATTAAAAAAATAGATAAGTAAATATGGTAGAGGATATTTAATTAAAAAAAATAAAATAATTTTCAAACGAGCAACTAAAATATATATTTGTATACCAAAGTACGATGAAGCACAACGCCCAGACTCTTAGGTTGGAAAAGTTTTGTTATTAACAGCAATATACTGATTATTGTCCGGCACATACAAATCGTTGATATGTCAGAACATGCACCTCTACTTAAAGTGTTCTGCCAAATTATAGCATCTTCAGAATGCCGCAAAACTTTCATAACACAAATGGGAGAGGACCGATAAATCTCATTTTCAATACCAAACATGCTACGAGTAGTATCAATATATATGCAAAATTTTGCAGAGATATCTAAAATTGTGATTCCAACAGTCGGACGGATATGGCTAAATCGACATAAAATTAAAATCGTATTAAGACCAAATATATGTATTTCGAGGTTTGGGATACACCCCACTTTGTGTAGGAGGGTCATTGCTCAAAAGCAAAGGTAGCCAGAAATTTCTACAAATTCATTCCTTACGTTATTACATCTTGCAATAACCCAATACCAATGTGTTTCCAAAAACACAAACCAGTAGAACAATTCTGCAATAGTGCCACCTGTTGCCAACCATTCACTATTGAATGTGACATGGCTATTTTTTTTTGGTATGGTAATACCGATAGGTTGTTGACTTTAATATTTACAGTGTTTTAATGAATGTTGACAGGAACTAATCCAACAAAAAGGCGTATGTACACTCATTCGTCTTACCAACTTCCTGATTACAATATGTCGACAATCAAAATGTAATTGGTGTTCTTTCGTTTTGAATTTCCTGTGTGAAAGAGACAGCAGGAACGTTAGGTTAAACGTGCTTCAGTTTGCGAGAAACTAATATTCATATTTTTATTGTATTTTAAACAATTAATATTTTAGAAAAACAAACTAATATTTGTTTAAAACATATGTTTATAAAGTGTTAATAATGATTGTTTGGAAATAATAGAAAACTTCATAATTTAAAATGTTTATAAAATAAAAACGTTCAAGATTTCCATTGGCCGGAAAATGGGTGGTGAATAATAATAAAATGCGATTCACTTATACGAACTGACTAATGAGTTGACATAAGATAAATGTGTGGTATGAATCGACTACGGATGTTGTATGTAGGGAGAGGGGGCCCCTTTGAACAGCGCTCATAAAATTTTTCCAAACCACATCCAATTTTCTTATATGACAATCCCTTTTTCTCAATCATCGTAAAAAACGTTGGATAGCTTTTTCAGTTTTCGACGAAATGTTGATGGGTAAGCATGTTTTCGTAATGTGGTAAATTTTTAATTTTTTTTTTTTTTTTTTTTTTTTGGTTGTTGAGCGCAGGAAGAATTCAGTGATCGTTTTTCCGTTTGGGGTCACCTTTTGTTAACAAATGGACGTACTACAACATAATTATAGTACAACAAAGTGAATAAGAATTATCCGATTGAAACTAAAACTTAAGTTTTGATGAAATCGGTTCAGATTGAGACATAGCTCCCACACATATTTTCGTCAGATTTTGTGTAAATGGTGCATTGGTGAAATTTAGCATAGCGTACTGGATTGAATCTAGAGTGATGTGTGTTAAGTTTCGTGAAAATCGTTTCAGATTTCGATAAAGCTCCCATATACACTTTTAAGCGATTTTATGAAAATGTTGCGCCAAAGACATTGGGTGTCATGCATAAAAACGAGTAATAGCGATGAGTTGAGTCATGTAAGCAATTGCTCGTTAGTTGAGTTAGATCGAACAGCAACAGCTTTTGCTCAATTTCGTATGCATAATAATGAGTTCAAACCAATGGTTATTGTTATTATCCTCCTTTTGTTTCTTCCAGCTTCTGAAATTCTTGCTGATTGTTGTTCGAAATAATTTCCTAACTGTCATTCATCATTATTGCTCTTATAGTCACTGATAGGGGTCTTTTAAAAAATTACCTATACTATACAGAATGAAACAACTGGCTATTATGTGTGGCGCTAGCTCTGTCGATACACGAATTTTATTGAAGCATAGAAAATCTTTGCTTCAATTGTCCAAAACACCGTTCTATAATGACACGTTCCCTTGTAAGCACTTTTTGGAAGGTTTTTTCTATATCAGATGTTGGGTTTCGGAATGGTGTCATTAGCCATAGGCATATTCCATAACCCTCATCTCCCAGAGTGAAAGCCTTTTCTGCAAATGTATTCATCGCTGTGATTGTCGGTTTATTAATTTTCATATACAATATACATAAGTACAATCAATAACTCCAATTGCAAATGGAAAGAAATATTTTGAGTGACATTTCATTTGACCATCTTTTATTTGATCTGTATCTTTCGGGAATTATAGCAAATCGCTTGCTTTGGCAGATATAAGTTTTTGATGTTGATTGATGTACTCCAATATCTGTGGCTATACCATTTTGGAATCCAGGATATGCACAGAATCTTAAATAGAGTCAAAATGTATCAATGTGGCTGAGGGCACCACCACACCATTCCTCTGACTCCTCAAAAAAATAATTCGCTAACCAGCATCAAACCTATGCATTTATCATTTTATTATTAATCATATAAAAATAATAATAATTAAGATACAAACATGTATAATTTTTTATCCTCACTTGCTAAATTTGTCTTACGCTGTTGATAATTTTTTTTATTTATTTGTGGTACAAAATATGCAGCCATGATTTTTTTAGTGTACGCGAGTCAACTAAAAGGCATGCTCCACAAAAGTTAAGCAAGAGCTCAGTAAAAGCTTGTTTTATGCATATGAAAATGAGAACAATCTTATCAAACTTCAACTTCTAAGTTCAAACGTGAACAGTGAGTTAAGGCAAATACCTCAAATATTATTATACATACGACAAGCGCCTTTTATTCAAAAAATCGATTCCAAGCTCAAGCTCACGTTTTATGCATGAGACCCATTAAATATTTCTCCGATAGCGATAGAACTTTGCACAGGGTACTTTTCCACCCAGTGGGAAACAAAAATACCTAATTATAGCTAATTAGTTAAAAAATGAAGAAAAACCTTAAAATATCGAATTTTGGGGTACCGCTATATGGGGGCTACCGTAAAAATTGGTCGATATATCTAATTTTCAATACCACACATCCCAGAAGTAACATTAATATAAGTTCAGAATTTCTATCTTCAATATTGCGAGCTTTAGTTTTTTACAGGATTGTAGGTACGGCTGTTTGCATTAATAAAAACATGACATTGTAGTTACGTCCGTTTGAATTCTTTAATAAGATCGCCGTTTTTGACGTTAGATGACTACATTTTTGTGTGAATATGTAGTTTGATTAGACGAACAATAATAAAACAAAATCCGTTTGCTTTTATGATGACGATATCAAGTGAAGTATTCAAATAATAAATATGTAGATAAATTTGCAAACTACAAAATTTAAATTTAATATTGAACAGAAAAATATTATCTTTTACCATAGACAGACGACAGCCTTAATTTGCATTAAAAAGTTCTTAATTTGAATTAAAATTTACCCCTGACAGACGAGAGTTTCTTCATTTATGAACCAGTTTTTTGTTTCAAAACAATTGTTTGTCTGTGTGTAGGAAGAAAATATTGACATTTGTTTACAATATTTTTTAGGGTTACATCTTTTTGAATTGATATATAGGAAGGAAAACTAACAGCTATAATGAAGATAAAACAGCTCCAAATTTGAAGAAATGTTGAATTTTCCCTTTATTTCTAATTTTTATTTTCGTAAACATAAACAAATTTGACAACAATCAATTTATTTTCTACAGCATTGCCATATTGAAATTGCTTAATTCAGTATAAATTCAGTTTGATTTTGTGCATTAACAACACATAAAAATGAGGATAATGTACAAGTTAATTTGAATTAAGGCTGTTAATGCAAATTACGGCTGTCGTCTGTCTACGCTATTACCGCTATCACATTTCACAACTTTATTTCCAGCAGTGTTGGGCAAAATTAAATTGAGAGCAAGTGTGTGCGAGCGTAACTGAGAATTCACCATTAAAAACGGCTGACGTAAGGAGAAAGAAAGAGAAAATGTGTTTACCCATCGACCCTCCGTTACGGTAGCGTATATGGCCGAGCATGCCTGATTTCAAGGGTTTTACCATTGTTTCCACTACAATTGGAGCATTTGATGAGAGGATTACAAAAACAATTGACAATTGGAATTGGGGAATGGAGAAGTATGCACATTGTTGTTGCATTTATTTCTCTACTATGTACAACAAAAAGGAACACTCACAAAGAGTAACTGCTAAACTGAGAGAATAAAACCGTACACTTGTTATGTAAAGATGGCAATAAGAACAACATAGAAATAATCCGTTATTTTTGGTGATAGATCAGATCAGGTGATATGTGTGACGTCATTGAATGTATTTGTTTGTGTATTTTCGTGCTTGTTTAATTTTGAATGAACAGTGGTGCTCATATTTGTAACATACTCTCCCGTCTATGCTAAACAGCGGCAGATCTAAATAGCGACAGGGAATACGTGTGGTTTGTTTTCAGAAAACGTAAAGGGCTGAGCAACACTGATGTATAAGTTACACCTTTTTGCATTTTAGCTAACGATAGCTATATAGCAATATTTCTGCCCTACACAATTATGTTGAAAGGATGTTATAGCTTTGTGTGGCCCCACAAGTATGTAACGCTGCGAAATTTTGATCATAGACCCACCTTTTAATATCATATCTGTCTGTTTTTGTTCTCAATTTAGAGGCCACAATTATGACCCGAATATCACGATTCTCGGCATGGCTAAATAAGGCATTTTAGAGGTTAAACAAATTTTAAATTAAACAATGTCTTCCATTATTTAAAACCACTCAAAACTGATTTTTTATAAATTAATCGTTATTTAGAGCAATTATTTAACATTTTTCCCAATTTTGAGCCAAAATGAACGAAAAGGTGCTTATTATTCACCCATATGCCGACTATAGGAA